AATTGAAATTGCTTAATATGTTTGAATTTATTTTTTCTTTTCTTCTTTCTCAATTTTTCTTATTTTTCTATTAGTATATAGAAAACTTACTGATTTTTGTATATTGATTTGTTTTCTATTATTTTGCTGAAAGTATTTTATAGATCCAAGTGTTTTTTTGGTGGGTTCAAATAGATCTAATTAGTCTTTTTCCTTTTCTACCTGTGTTTTGTTTCTTCCTCCTGTTTATTGTTACAGATAAAATGCTGAGAACTATAATGTATATGAAATAAGAAGAAAAATAAAATTATCCCTATTTGCAAATGATATGATATTGTACATACAGGAGCCCAGAGATTCTACCAGAAAACTATGTATCTATATACCAGAAAACTATATCTATATATCTATCTCTCTCTATATATATATCTATAAATGATTAGTAGTTTCATTGAAGTAGTAGTATATGAAATTGACTTTAAAAAATAGCCTTTCTACCCAGGCAGTGGGACTGGGACCTGTCCTCAGTGCATAAGCTGGCTGTTTGGAACCTGGGGCTTATGCAGGGACACTTCGCTCAGCCTGGCAGGAGGGGACTGCACCTGCTTGGACTGAGTCTACCAGGTTGAGCTGAATCCCCAGGGGAGTCTTTGACCTGGAGGAGATGGGAATGGGGGGTGGGATGGGGGGAAGGCAAGTGGGGGAGAGATTACTATAATGAAAACTTTAAATCTTTGAACAAAAAAGTTGATGAAGACACTTGAAGATGAAAAGACTTCTCATGTACATGAATGGAGGAAATAACATTGTTAAAAATGACCATCCTGCCAAAAGTAATCTGCAGATTCAATACAAGCCCAATCAAAATACCAGGACCTTTCTTCATAGACATCAGAAAATTTCCTCAATTATATAGAATCACAAAGAAAGACCAAGGATAACCAAAAAGACCCTGGACAAAATGAATGGTGTAGGAGGTCTCACTATATTTGATTTCAAGTTATATTACTGAGCCATAGTAATCAAAACAGCACAGTACTGGTGCAAGAGTTATATAGATAAATGGAATGTAATAGTGGATTATGATATAAGTATATCCAACCATAGTTACCTGATTTTTGATAAAGATGTAAAAAGTGGACACTAGAGAAATACAAGTATTCAACAGATGATGATGGTCAACACAGATTTCAACATGCAAAATAGTGAAACTGAATTCTGACCTCATACCCTGAACAAAATTGAACTTCAAATAGATTTAGGGATTAATATGATCATAATACACTGCATATTTGCTCTAAATCTTCAAATAATAATAATGATGATAATAATAATAGTAATAATAAGAACAACTAAATAAGACATTCAACCCCTTCCCCAACAACAAATTTTGTAAAAAGAGTATGTGAATTTGTCACTAGGAAATGTGTAGAAACCACAGGTTCCTTGGACACTTTCAAGTCTTTAGTTAATCAATATTCTATTGTGAGTTTTAGAGCTGATAGCATAGGAGTCAGACTGTAGTCGCATCTTAGCAGTTGGGCTGTCAGAAGTTATAATTCCTTCTTGACTTCCTAATGAGGTATTATTACTTTATGAGGGAATTCCTAATAATCTCTGAGTTGAATTTGGGCTTTAGAGTTATGGACTTTCTATAAGGGTCTGTGTATCAGAATCAATGAGCTACTGAGTTTTTTATTTGCATAGGAGAAATTGCAGTTTCCCTCTGGAGACAAATTTTGGTTAATGGGTATCCAATTCTTAAGATAATACCCAACTTGGGCACTAGAATGCTTCCTAGAAAGGGAATGGGGAACTAGGCACAGTCAGAAATTCATGAAAGAAGAGTTTAATAAAATGAGTAAGCTAACAGCAGAATAAAGTAACATCATTTGTCTCTACCTTCTAATCCAGTAACACTTCTGAAACCAGCAGGGTTGACTCTCTGTAAAAACAGGTAAAAATGAGTAACCCTTCCCTAAATAAATTCCATACGGAATTGAATTTGTTTGATCATGATAGACAGAGTAACCTAGAGTTCTTCAGGGGTGTAGATGATATTCCCAGACCTTCATCATCATTCTATTATTCCATTGCCACCAGATTTAGAAGTCCCCTGGCTCCCTTTGACCTTCAGTCTGTTAATCCTCAAGTGCTATGGATGTTCTTTGACAATTTCATTATTCATCATTGAGACCCTCACTTTTCAAGACTAATGCAATTTCTAGAGTCAAGGACTCCAGTACCCTGTTTCTTTCACAAAATAAACTGAAATAGTCCTCATCTAGCTATAGAAAAATTTCCTCTAACTTGGATCAAATATATGAAACATCTTATTGATTGTATTTTTTACTTTTCTATTGCGCTGACAATACTCCAAGGCAGCTTATAGAAGAATACATTTAATTTGGCTTATGATTTCAGAGGATTGAAAGGCAAAAAGCATGGTGGAACAGGAACAGCTGAGAGGTCACATTTTGACCTCCAAGCAGGAAGAATAAGAAGAGAGAGAGAGAGAGAGAGACCACTGAGAATGACATGAGTTTCTGAAATTTCAAAGCCTGCTCCCAGTGACATGTTTCCTCCAACACCTACTGGAGATCAAGTATTTAAATATGGGAGCCTTTTGGGGCCATTATCATTTAAACTAGCCCATTGATTATTCTTCTTTTATTTCTTATGCACACACACTGAATCAAGTTAGTTGATTGGGCACGTGGATTTCCAGAACTTTATCCTTATAATGAACAATCACCCTTAACTACAGGTACAACCTCTCCTCTAACTCTTACTTAGAGAGTAACACAGCATATATGCCAGTTGGAAGATGATGAAAAGCCACAGTCAACACCAAGGAATACGGAAGCCAGAAAGAGACCTTGTATATTGGGAAATCTCCATTTACCTGAAGCATTTATATCTTCATGAGGCTGAAGACACCCAACATCCAAAAGAAAGAATCTGAAGGGGCACACTTTGAAATAATTTACCTCACCCTGCTCTTCTATCACAGAGAATGCCCTTTTGGGTGAAAGCCAGGTCAATAACTCTGCATTTTCTTCTCCATTGTAAGTCATCTTGAGTCTTGATTCTGGCCATTTATGCTTGTGGTAGCCTGTAGAATGAGCTCTGGTTCTGTTCCCAGATCTCAGTGACTCTCTTCAGAGTCACTAATTTAACAAGGAATGCCAGGTCCTGCCTGAGATGGAGATAGTCAAGTGATTTTTATTGGAGGTGTTCCCTTTCCTGACTCCCCAGCTCTCTCCATGTCTCTCTCATTGAACACACAATGGAGTTCCTCTATTATGTAGTTTTGTTCCTGGACTGCCCTCTGCTTTGAAAGCACTTCTTGTTCTGTTTTGTTCTCTTTCACAACCCAAGTGACCTCTGATTCAAAGGTGTCTTTCAGTTCAGTTTTATCAGTCCATTCAGTTATTTAGTGTATTGTGGTGTCTGATTTATTTCAGAGCTCTGTGAGAATGGATAACCTGAACTCTACTTTAGTTAGTAAGTCCTCAGGGATGTACTGGAAAATTGTTGTGATGATGTTTATAACCCCATGAAAGAGAAGAAATTGATGCATTGTTGTAACAGAGTGAGATTTCTTTATGTTTTGGGCTTCAGGAGAAATGATCAATTAGTGTGCTCTACATCATAATGCCAATTTAAAATGAGAGTTGTTTGCCAAGGCTTGGGGAAAAGGGAAATATATTAGGCCTACACAACAAACTCTGTCTTTTGACCTTTCAACCTTCGCTTAAGGAAGTTTCATCTAAGCACTTCAAAGTTCTCCATTGTTTGTGTATAAGGGTGCTATCTGAATCACTGCAATTATTTTATGTTTACCTTTGACTCTAAAATAGGATGAGTCAAGACTTCATTTGCCTCTAGAATTCCTGAAAAAAAGGTCATTAGAACCCCTCTTTTTACACCTCTTGAGTGCTTGAAAACTTTCCTTAAGGGTTTTCTTTGCTCCAACATCTTGACATCTGTCATTTGCTCCACCCCCCATCCTGGCATCACAGATCACACAGCAACCAGTGAACAACAGGAAGTGGAGACAAACCACATGGTGATTCAGCAATATCTTCGGATAAAATTGTTTAGAGACAAGGGGCATGTGGCAATAAAAAGAAGCTCAAGTTAGGCATGGTGGCACATGCTTGTGATCCCAAACAATGACAGATGGCAGGTATTAAGAGACAGATAGAGACGCTGGAGAGACCACTCAATCTTTAGAGTACTGGCTGTTCTTCCAGGGAACCTGGGTCAAGTCCCAGCACTTGCACTGTGGTTCATAACTGCAACTTCATTTATAGGACACTTCTTTCTTGTATCTATGGGCACTGCGTACACCTAGACAAAGCATGAAAATAAACAATAAAAACATTTTAGAAGGAAGGAACTTCAGAAATTATTTAGTCCAGAATTGCAAGAAGTGGGAAAACAGTCATGTTTCCACCCACTATCTTTGAAACTCCCTAGGCTCATCTCTGAGATGGAGCTCCATGTGAGATTGCAGTCAGGTGCTCAGAGTATCTCTGCTGCTTTGTGTCTTCCTGGCAGCATCAATCTTCCAAAGCATCTCTAGGGCTAGGGAGATGACTGGCCAAAGTAGACATCCCTTAATGCTGTGTAAATGGATAGGCTGAAGAGTGAAGGAAATCCAGCGAGGAGGCACTGAGTGGGGAAAGAGTGAGCCTTCAGCCAGACTAACCTTCATGGGAACCATGAAGCTGCCAGGTCTATTTGCTGCTATTTTCTGGTCCTCAGTGTGATGAGGATATGACAGTCATAGTTGAGGTTGGGGTAGACATCATCTCTGTTGATAGTATGTGGAGTGAGTAGAAAATTTCTCAGTAAAGAAAAATTAAAAAAAAGTACTAAAGAGAATCTGAAACTAACACAAGATATACTGCTGGAGACATGGGAGCCAGACGCCTGTGAGGCTACTTCCCTTTCCTGTGGAGATGAAGAAATAGCCATCATGTGATGAGGAATATTTGTCCTCCCAAGGCCACACCTTGTACTGCTTGTCCATATGACCAGACTCTCTGGCCCTGCTAATCATCATTTTAGCCACTGGAAGGAGATGCCATGACTATTGCCTTCATAGCCCTGTTCTATCTTGGTGAGATATAAATTGTGGAAAGGGATACTGTGATTAGGTGGTGGTGGGGAACATGCCTCATAGCTAAACCCTCGGCCGTCAGGAAACCCAAGGGGAGCAGGAACCTGTGGGGAGGGGAGAATCTATTCTGCTTTGGAGGGCAAAGCTCACAGAGAGTATTCTCTTCCAGGGCTGATCCTGTTCTCCATGACCCATGTACCAGTAGGTGAGTGTGGGTCAGGTGATTTCTTCTCCTGTGGACCAGAAGCCAACCCTGGGCAGGAGGGATAAAGAACAATAGTTGTGGACTACGCTTGGGTTATACTCAGAGGTTCTTGGGGCTGAGGGATGAGATTAGAAGGCCAATGTCTTGGGATCAAGCTGTTGATTTCCTTGCAGAAGCTATTGGCAAGCCCACACTCAGAGCTCAGCCAGGCTCTGTGATGACCAGGGGCATGCAAGTGACCATCTCATGTGAGGGGACCTCAAGCGCCCAGGAATACTATCTCTATAAAGAGGGCAGTCCAGATCCCTGGCAAACACAGACCCCTCTGGAGCCTGGAAATAAGGCCAAGTTCTTCTTCCCATCTATTCAAGAGAACCATGCAGGGAGATACCGCTGTTACTATAAGACCCAGGTTGGCTGGTCAGAGCGCAGTGACTTTCTAGACTTGATGGTGACAGGTAAGTGAAAACCCAGGGTCTCCATTCCAAGGTTCTCTCCTTAGGAAAGAATCTTCCCTCTGGGATGTGTGAGATGGCAAATCAAGAGGTGCTGGTTCATTTAACAGGATACTCTCTTTTTCCCTAGGATTCTACAGAAAACCCAGTCTGTCAGCCCTGCCCAGTCCAGTGGTGAGATTAGAAGGGAATGTGACCCTCCAGTGCGTCTCACAGCTTGGGTATGATAGGTTTGCTCTGACTAAGGAGGAACCACAGAAGTTCTCTTGGACCCTAGACTCACAGTACATATACTCTAATGGCAGTTTCCGGGCACTGTTCTCTGTGGGGCCTGTGACCTCCAGACAGCAGAGGACATTCAGATGCTATGGCTATTACCTGAATAAACCCCAGGTGTGGTCAGAACCCAGTGACCCTCTGGAGTTCCTGGTGTCAGGTAAGGCAGCCCAGCTTGTCTATTGAAAGATACTGCATCTGAAAAGGATCTAGGAGATCCAGGGCTCTCAATCCCGTTGACACAGAGCATGAAGACAAAAGAACCAAAAAAAAAAAAACAAGGGAGGGAGGGCAGTGAGAGTGAAACATGGGTGTCTAGAAGATAGATGGGTCTTCATGTGACTCCAGTGTTCCTTCTGCTATTCTGGGATCAACTCGGTGATCCCCATATTATCATATAATAAATGAATAGATATGTATATGATAGGTGTATGTTATATTCATTATATGTGATTTTATGTAGCTATAAATTCAGATCCTCATGTGAGAGAAAACATGACATGAATCTTTCTGCATCTCATTTATTTGGTTTAATATATTGAACTCCAGTTGCACCCAGTTTTTTACAATTTTCCTGCACAAAGAATTTTTTCCTTCAAACAAATACATTTGAAATTGCATGGCAGCATATAACTTACACATATAGATGTATAATTTTGTTT